TGCATAGGTTTGCAAGATTTTAACTGTTTTGCATGATTAACATTGAAAAAAGTCTGAATTCTGGTAGGAATAAATTTGTTATTGTGGATTTTCTGATTATGTGCTGGCTTTGCTTATGTGCTTTTTTGACATCTGTGTAATTTTTTCCCTGTATTTCAGTTGTAGCTGTTTACACTTTTGATTTGCATATTTTGAAGGAAAATATTTCAATGGATCAAACTCTTAGACCAAATGCACATTTTCTAAAACATTAAAAGGAAAGAAAAATTTCTTTTTAAGATTAAAAGTATCATGTGTTTAAGTCTGTAGTAGTTATACAGATAAAAAAATTCTTCCTTTCGAAACTAGGGGGCTCGATCCCTGAAAATTCTCCTACTAATACTTTATTTACAGCCATGAAATTTAGAACATTGTTAGACTCTCTCTTGCTATGTTTTACTAATAAAATGCAGAAGTTGATAAATGTTAAGTCTTCACTTCATTTTGAGTCTACTTAATGCTAATTAAAAAGAATCATGACAAATGGAGGATTAGTTCTTATGCCAGATTGGGAATTACTAGTCTTTAAAAAAGAAATACCTTTGAAAGGTTCACTCCTTAATAAATTTGTACATACTGAAGTAGCTTAGTCCATATGATACTAATTCTTTAACTATTTCTTTAAGATGCATATATCTTTCCATAAAGAATTATGGATTTAGAGAATTAGCTAAAAACCATTCTAGTGTTTTGCTTTAAACTTTGGAAAATTGAGGAGGAAGTCTGTGTCATAGTATCTGTGTGGTCAAACCCTGCAGATCTTTTTACAGCATTGGAAGATTTGCCTTTTCCTTTTTACTTAAGGTGGAAGGAGAAAGAAGATTGAGTTAATTTTTGTATGAGGCTTGCGCTAGAAAGTCTTACTGTTGTGATGTGACAAACAGAAATGTACCCCTTGAATGCTATTTTAAAATTTTTTATCAATGTAATTATTTGTGACTATTTTAGCATGCTTTTTAGACTTCAAAATAATTTCAAGTCCCTGTATTTAAAAAATAATTTCTCAAGAATATTCTTGGTGGACTTAAAATCAATAATCGAACAAAGTTGTACTCTCCATTTTGCAGTTCTTTAGTATCTTGCAATAGGTCCCCAAAAAATGAGTTTGTGTTTTGAGATGTGAGGTTTTTGGTAAAGAGGGCCTTTAACATAATGGAACATGAAATTGCCTGTGTTTTTTTGTTTTTTTTTTTTATCAGCTGGTTGTAAGGCAGGTAATAAATAGGAAATATGGTATAAATTCTAGGTAAAACTTCTGAAGAATTGGTGTTAGTCTGGCTTTACTTAAAAAATAACTATTTTTGTATGCTAATGTGGTTATTAGTGTTGCAGTGGTTCTGTGCAGTAAAGAATTTTGTCTAATTTGTGTGGAAATAAAGAAAAATGGATGCTGTGAGTGTAAATGCCATTAGTTGTGCTGCTGTCCTCAGGATGCTCAGGAAACTGTGTGAACTCCAGCTCACAGAGCAGCACTTAAGCTGACTCACACAATGAGCTCAGGGGCTGTATAAATGAGAACAAGAATTAGAACTTTACAGCACACAAACTGTGGTCCATGTTTTGTTTGTAATGCAGGCCTTTTAGTATGTATTTTTCTTAACGTAGTGACTCCTGGAATTATTGAAGTTTATTTTTATTTAAAAACTGATAGACTTAATGATTGAAAGAAAAACTTGGAATAGGAAGTCAGATAGGAGAGTAGTGAATACCAATAAAAGCAATAGTAGTTTGTCTTCGTATCTTCATTTTTTCACCTGTCATATCAATCCTGCAGATCACAGATCTACTGAACACCTCTGTGCATATCTCTTGGCTTTATGATTTTATTCATGTGATGGAAAAAGTTAGAATCTGCTTTAAAAAAAACTCTACATCTTCACTGAATTCCTTCCAGTGCTTTTTAAAAGGCTATCAGAAATTCTGTGCTACTAGACAACGTTTTGTTCCTCCTCAGGATGTCAGCACTGTTTTGACTGGCTGAGCCTCTCTTTTGTAAACTTGGAGTTCTCTGTAAATAAACTTATGTCCCAGCATTTTGAGGCTGAGGAGAGTGTAGATTCCAAGCCCTGATGCTGCTGTATTTTTGGTGATGAGGAAGGTAAACAAAACAAGGCAGTTCTAAAAGTTGTAAAAGTGTGATTTTAAAGAAATTTCTTGGGATTTGGTGCAGCAGGGAGATTCTGTCAAATGTAAATGAAACTAATTTAATTCCTAAGTGCTTCCACCGGTATATGTTAATTGTGTCTAATGCTTTTGTCTTTGTTATTTGATTGCATTAAATTACATGCTTGGTATAGGTAAACATCAGCTTATATTGGTGACTAGAAATAATTGTAGCTTTTCATAAATTAATGTCTTGAGACTCCTATGATTTATGTTAGTATGAGTGCTGTGGTTAAGAAATAAAGCAGCTATGGAAAAAAATCTGTTTCCAGACTCTCTTGGAGGACTGACTTGGATGCAATTGAAGGAGTTGCATTAGAAATAGAGAGGAGAGATTTATATGTAGACGGTTCCTGTTTGCCATTGCAAATTAAGTTTTCATGTGCATTGATTGATTTTATATATTTAATAGATTATTTTAGTTCTCAAGGGTTTACTTTAGTCAGGCTCTTGATTTCTTTAAATTTTGAAAATAACGGAGTTATTTTCAGGAGCTACATTTATAAAGTCAATAGTCTGTTACCTGCAAAAACCCTTTTGTCTTCCTAGGCTGTAATTGCTTGATGCATTTCTTTGGCTGTGCACGTTGTTTTCCCCACTTTGCCTCTTTTCATGTTTCAGGCTCAGTGGGCAGGTCACTGGGCTGTGTATAATGTCAGCCTTGGGTAGTGGGTTAACACTGCCCTGGTGTTCCCCACCATAGAAGGGGGTGACCTGCTATACAAATGCTTTGAGAACTCCATAAAATGTGACAGCAAACAATGGTTTGGTTGAGGTTTTTTTTGTTGTTTTGTGGTGTTATTTTATTTTGTTTGTTACAGCAAGCATATGGGATTATTATTTTTGAATTGAAAGAAGATAAAAAGTTTAATTATGCTGTTATCTTAATTTTTAGAAAAGCAAAAGTAAAATAGAGAGTGTGTTATTCTTACAGTAATAAATGTGTCAGCAGTTAAAATTTCCTGTTATGGCTTTTAGCCAGATGTCTCCCAGAAAAAGTAGAATGATGTATGTAACTTCACAGGTTGCAGTTTGACAAAGAACTAGTGGCAACTATAGTCACTGAGTTCTAATTTGGCCTCTGATTAGTCTTCTCTCTGTGTCTTACATTTAGTCAGAAGGGTGAAATATTTTTTCCTCACTTGAGTTGTTTTCACTGAATTTCTATTGAATATGTGTTTGTGAGGGAGATAAAGGGGATGAATTAAAAGGAAATTAATAAAATGTTAAAAGCATTTTTAGCTTTTCTATTTGGGTGCTTGAACTAATTTAACACTCTCTTGTTTTGGAAGCAATTGATTTGTTGAAATGGATTAAAGGATAAAATATTATTTAGGAGAGTAATTATGTTTAAAATTATGTAAATATACACAAACTCTTGTAGGTATATGTGATTGTGAATTTAGGGTACATCATGAAGAAATTGATTTCAGAGCTATCTGAAATTCAAAGAATAAAATTGTTCAATATTTTGTTGAAGAGTTGTCCTGTCAAGGCTTCCAAAGGATGATACCCACCTATATAAACTCTTTAGAAGATACGAAATAGTATGAGAGCTATGAAGGGGATAGAGTGGGACTTAATTACCAGAGAAGTGTGCTTTATGTTTTTGTCAACAATATTATCTCTTGGAGAAATGACAAACGAGAGGGTGTGTGTGCATATCGATGTCACAGACACCAGCCCATGTGTTGTCTCATGTCTGACCTCAGTGGTTGTGGTCACCCAAGAGCATAGGGATTAGAGGCAAGGAAGAAGGCTGATGGCATTCCTTTTTTGAGTTATGTTCTGCTGGAATCGTGTTTTCCTTCCATTCTGTTACATTTCTGATCTGATGACTTGCAGGCTGGCTGAGGTGTGCTGTTTGCTCCTGGCTGGGAAGATTCCTTTGTTTTGAATCACACCTCAGGTGTCTGTTGATATTCAGTTGGTTTGGGCATGGTGCTGGTACCATCAAGGTCACAGGTTTGATATCTGTTAGGACTGTTCTTGTAAGAGCTGGACTCAATGAGATCCTTGTGGGTCCTGAAAAATGTAACCAGCATCATTCAGAAGCTGGAATATTGGATTAAAATACAGAATAATCAGCCATTACAATCCTCTGTATCTTTCCTCCTTCTGGTCTCTGGCTTTTATGGATTTCAAAATTTAAATACATTATAATTCTTATAACTCGATTTTATATTGTTTAAGTCAAAATACATTTTTTACCCACATATCAAAGTACTGGTTTTTGCATTGAAATAGCTATTTTGTATTGCCTTTTCATTGCAGAGCCTACTTTGTACTCCAAGAATGATGAGAGACTTGTTTAGGGAATTGGTGTGTATTTAGCATTAGTTAAAGGTGCCATTCAGCACTTCAGCAATAATATGGCTGAAAGCCATACTTACACAGAGACAACCAAGATGCATCTGTGGGATTCTCTAGGGCTCAGTCACCATTTCCCCTCTATAGTCATGGATCTTGTGAATGACAAGGTGGGGGTAGTTGGAATGGCTGAAGATTAGCATCCCCTGCTGTTTTGTAATTATCAGAATCTGGACAGTCATTTATCTGAACGAAATAATGCATACAGTTTGTGCCTCCAAAGAAAAGCATACATAATGTGATTGTAAGAAGAGGTTTTCAGTCTCTCAGTGGGATCTGATAGGGTATGTTTATAAACTTCAACCTGGCAGTGTCTCTGCAGTGGAATTCCACTGGTATTGAGATAATAATTTGCACAGTCAAATTGCTTTCCTTACAAAAACCCAGGGAATTATGAGGCCTAATCCTTTATTAATGTCAACCCATAGGCAGCAAGAAAGCGTAAGATTGCCATTCGAAAAGCCCAGGGGAAAAATCTCGAGGCCATCCGAGAGCTGAATGAGTATCTGGAACAGTGAGTGTCTTACAAGAATACGGATTGTGTTTTGCTGTTCTGATAAATCTTTTTAATTAAAGTGGAATTTGCATTTAATTTACGCTTTTGCTTAGTGCTAGTCATTTACAGAATCCCTTGCACATTCTTTCTTTTTTTTCTTTTTCCCTCTCTTGTATTCTCAATACAGATTTGTTGGTGACCAAGAAGCTTGGCATGAACTTGCAGAACTTTACATCAATGAACATGAGTAAGTTGTTTGCTAAGTCTGCATAAAAAATGTTAATTTGAAACCCACTCTGTGTAAGTCAAAAACCACAGTGATTTTTTATAAGGACTAGTGTTACAAAGTATGCTGTCTCATTTCCAATATACTAGGTCTCAACTGGAAATAATTACCAGGCTTATTTGGCTACCAAATACTTTAAGAAGGCATTTGTTTTTCTAACAAAAAGAGTTTACTTAATTACCTATATGTTTCAGTAGTTTTTAAAAATCTGATGTTTGAAAGAAGTGGTTTGAGTGCAGCAGAGGACAGCACTTACTTCCCATCATTTTTTGTTCAAGTTATGTATTTTACTTTTTACTTCTAAAATCAATTGATTACAGCAACCAATATTCCAATTTTCTTTTAGCCTACCTCTCCCAGAACTTTTAGTAACCTTTTTTAAAAAAACCCACAAAGCAAAACATAGATCCAGAGTTGGAGGCGTCTGGTCGCCTGGGTACAAAACCCAATGCGATCAAGAATGCTGAATGTTGTAGTAACTTGCTTATTGGATATTTAATGTTTTTGTTAGCTTTTTTTATTGCTGTAGTGACAGGAGGAAATCCCAGTGTGAGAGGATTAGCTCCAAAGCCTTAGTGCAAGTTTTCTAATATCACAGCATTAATTCAAACCTCCACCAAAAGGCATATCTTTTTTTCCCCCCTCTTTCTTTGGTTCTTCAGGCCAGCCTGAATTCTATCACATTGTTTCCTTCTTTCCTTTTCAGAGGGTAGTAAAAGAATCAAATTGTCAAGGAAGCTATTCTCACTGTGAGGGAAAAATTGTTCCCCAGTCACCTTTCCTTGTATCCCATTCTCAAAGAAAATAGTTTATTTAACTCTTTGAAATGATGACTTCAGGAATAAACTAGGAATTTTGATACCTAGATTTCCATTTGTTTGGGGAGATCTACCAGCCCCTTTTCCAAGAAAATAGCTATTAAAAATTTTCTGGAAAGATATTTGAGCTTGTCAAATCTGTCAGTATAGAAGTGAATGATAGAGTGATTCAAACATACGTATCCCATTATTGGGTTGGGTTTTTCTCACTATAATCTTTATTATGAAACTCTGCAATAAAACCTGAGAAAGAAATTGCTTTTGCTTGTATTTGTTTTGGTCTATAATTCCAATAAAAAGCAATATGTAGAACTTCAGTTCATGGAAAGAATGCACTGTCCTCTCTATACTTCCATAAGCATCGTTATTATTATTGTGCTAATAGGGAAAAACTGGGATCTTGGCTAAAAGCAACTAAAAGTTAAGTTTTAAAAAAGAAGGCAATTCATCAGCTTATATGTTTTATCAGGGTCACAAGTCACAGGGCTTGTGAAATCACCATGCTCTCGTTTTTGTTCATAAGCACACATAGATGTACAAGGTTTACACAGTCCTCAGTTCTACCCTGTTCTGCAATGAGGACTCTGGCTTCTGCTTTTGGAGAATGAGGTGGCTGCCCTTTTATTTCCAGATTAATAAATGGTACAGATACATTACAATCATAACATGCACTGGAGAAAACCACAGCATATTTATTTTAGGATACAAGATTTTACAGGTAATATGGCTTAATATGTCTTATAATTGCTAAATTGCTTTTACTGCAGTATTAAATATCTATCCACACTGCCGTCATAAACCTTCTATCTCTGAATTTTGGAATCTTATGCTATAAACTGTGCAATAGTGCTATCACATATCTCTAGATGATGCAAATTCTGCATACAGTTCCATTATTTGACAGATTACAAAGCCAAGATTCTTCTCAATAAACCTGCATTTTGAGCTTGACTTTTTAATTTTTTCTGAAAGTTTTCACTAAAAAACTCAAGGACTAGCCTTCTCAAATGATAAGGATATGCCCATTTTGGAGAGGTCTGATGCTATTTTCGTACATAGATTTGGACTGTTTGAATTTTAGAAGTGTTCTTAGTTTGTTGGTTTTTTGTCTTAGTTCTGTGTTTAACTGTTGGCAGGTAAAGTTAACTGACAGTGTAAATGCTGTGAACAGTAGCTGTGTTTATGAATCCTCAGGTAGCTGAATTTTCTTAGGAAAAAAAGGAATTATTTTTATTGTCTCAGTTCAGTGTCTTTCAGTACCTAATACCTATCATCATTCCTGCTGATAACAACTGGCACTTATTAATAAGAGATTAGTATTTTAAATGCTTTTCATGAGCTGCTCCATTAGATTTTGTGTATTTTTCCTCTGTCTATGATGCAAAAATAGTAACTTGTTTCTAAACTTTATTTTAAAATGAAGCATTTTCATTGTGAATCATGTGATTTTTTTGGGGGGTAAAAGTAATACTTGTATTGTGCTGTAAAAAAAATTGAAGCAAAGAGCTGTGTACTCATGTTTCATTTTATCACTGTTTTTGTATTTCTCAGCTATGCAAAGGCAGCCTTCTGCTTAGAGGAGCTTATGATGACTAATCCTCACAACCACTTATATTGTCAACAATATGCTGAAGTAGGTATTTCAGAAAAATCAATTATGTTTGATTACATTTTCTGTTTTTATGTTACAGAAGTGGTGAAAATGATTTCTTTAATTTTTCCCTAGGAGATATTAAAAGAGTTCACAGAGAATGCTAACATCTCATAGAACTGAACATGTTCTGGAAATTGTGTTTTCATACTCAGTGACTCAGTCACAGTGTGACTAAGCTAAATATAAGAGTTAGGGGAGGAATTATTCACGATAAAAGCTAATTTTAAATGAACTCTTCTTGTTGAAGTCTTTATGCACTTTTCAAATTAAGTGCATGAGAAGCTAAACTTTTCTACAACAATGCTGCCTAGGAGGTCATGATGTGTTGCCTGTTACTGTGGACTCAGATATTTGAATCCACTAATTTCTGCCTGAAGGAGCACTGGTGGAAGCGAAGTAAAAGCTAGAGGTAAAATTAGAAGTTTTAGCTCAAGGTTTTAGCCATTTGATTTTGTCTTTTTTTTTTTTTCCAGATTATTTTTTTTCCTAAATTATACTGTTAACTGCTTAGATTGGGTTTAATTTTTTTAGTTAACATGGGTAAAATTGTGTTGACATTAAAACTTGAAAGCCTAAGTAGCTTTGTCATAAAAAGACTTTGAAGCATATCTTCTAGTATTTATCCCTCTTTTTTGTTGATCTAATATCTGGAAAAATTAATAGAAAAATAATGGAGTAATCCTCTAAACTTTGTGTGCTATTTTGAATACATAATGAAAGGCATTGTGTTGTTTTGTGAACTGTTTTCATGCATGCTGTGGGAACATAGGGTCAGTATGGATTTCTAGTAGTCAGAATTTAGATTTAAAATTTCTGCTACTTTTTATAAGAGACAATCCCAAGGTTTCAAGTATTTATAGGTGAAAATAATCACTTTTTAATCTTGTAGCAATGCATTAATGAAATTAATGCTGGAGTTTTTTCTCCTATAGTTAAATATTTTGAAATGTATATATTTCAAAGAGATATATTTGGCTTTTGATAGGATTCACCTGATTAGAAATATCATGTGAAACAAACTTGGAGTAAATTTTTGTAGTATCATTGCTTTAGATTGAATGCCTGAGGTATGAATGACATGCAAGTTTCAGGAGTTTACCATTTTTACAGGTTAAATACACTCAGGGGGGGCTTGAAAACCTTGAGCTGTCAAGAAAGTATTTTGCACAAGCACTGAAGCTTAACAACAGAAATATGAGAGCTCTGTTTGGACTTTACATGGTAAGCATGATTAGGTATTTTCCATGTTATCATTCTAGATTTGTTTATGCACGTATATTATCCTTTGCCGTTTGCTGTTTTGTTTTTTCCCTGATTTTTAACTTAATAGCTCAGATTATTAACACTGTTTTAAAATACAGAGTATTTTACATACAATTTGAGTAGGGATAATTCTGTGCTAGTAACTACTCCTTACAGAAGTGCTCTTAACTTTTAAGTCTTGCCTGTATTTTCAAAAGAATTATCATTATTGGCATGGGAAGGTAACTTCTTCAAAAAGGATTTAAAGTCATACATCCTCTCTAGAAGGAATTCTTTGCACAGTGGATTTATTTATATAAGTAAAAAACTTAATTTGATTCTTATTCTTTCAGGTGAAGGTGGGCATATTTTATGTAGAGTCTTATCTGCTTTTAAAATGTGTTTTCTGATACTACAGGGAAAAATGTAATGTTTTTAATGGCAGCTTGGACATACAAGTGATGTATTTTATATTGTCTCTGGTAAAAAATTGAATGTGGAAAACTAATTCGTAACTCTCACTTTAGGAGAAGAAAATTGGATTAGCTGATCATATCCAGGTTTGGTTCTTAACTCAGTACAGAACTGAACTGAAATCTAATGTACCTGTAAATAGAACAAACAATATCTTTAAAAGTCTAGCTGATTCTTATCTGGATGCTGTTTTCTGGTGACTTTAACATTTTTTTTGTCTCTTTCCACTATCACTGTGCATAGGGCTTAGACTGTAAGGAGATGCTCAATGTTCTCAGCTTATTTCATGCACATAAATTTTATAATTACACTTATTTTATTGTATTCCTAGTCTGCCAGTCATATTGCTTCCAATCCAAAAGCAAGTGCAAAAATGAAAAAAGATAATATGAAATATGCCAGCTGGGCAGCAAACCAAATAAACAGAGCATACCAGGTTAGTACTTCATTGCTTTATGATACTCTTAACATGCTCTTTTCTGCACTTTTATCAGCTACCGTTCAAGAGGTTAAATATGACATGTAAATCAGCATAATCTGCTTATATTTTTTACATTCTGCTTCTGTTTGATTTCCTGGAAACCTTAATTAATAAAAGGTTAATGTTTCCTGGAAATCTTAATAATTTTACAGTTACTAATTGCTATCATTTACTTAATAGCTTTAAACATATTTTTCCTACTAACATTAACTGAATGTACATTACTGTAATATTGACCTTCACGACTTGGTTCTACAGCTATTTCAATAAAACTTGCTATGTCTTAATTCTTAGAATAACTTTGTTATCCACTTCTATTTTACCAGAAAACAAATGAAAGTTCTGGGATTTTTATTTTCCTTGAGTTTACTCTAACCTTTCAAAATCATATTTAATTGCCTTAATATTCGTGGCTGAAGTTGGTTTTGTGTAGTTTTGTAGGGAAATGCTCATTGAGTTGTGAAAATGTAGAATTTGTAGGCCATAATCAAAGCTTGCTGAAGTGATTGGGAGCCTTTCCAACTTTTTAAAAAGTTATGTGTAAACTTTTATATTTCCTGTTGTATTATAAGCCTCTATTTCTTTCTATAAATATGAATGAAAACATGTTTTAGCTCATAGGCTCTGCTGTCTGTTTCTCCCAAATATATCATGTCTATTTCACTCCGTTACAGCTATTCTTAATGATCTGCCAATGAAAGGTTATACATAAGTAATCCTGGACATCAACATCATACTGTCCAATTCTCCCCACAGCTTTTTTGTTGAGCAAAAGTATTGATGTTAAATGCAAAGACTTTGTATACATGTAGCTCTTCTTTCTCCGTGCAATATTTCAGTGTTGGAACCCAATATTTAATTTTTTTCTTCTTGCTACCATTTCACAGTTAATACTACCAAATGGCCTTTTTACAAGCAGCATCTATTATGGATTTAAATTAGATTTTCCTTTTACAGACAGTGCTGTTTTCTTAATACTTAACTGCATTTCAGTTCCTTGCCAAGTGTGCAGCTTCTTGTGGCTGATGTGTTTTTGATATATTCCAACTTAAAGGTATTTTCCATTTCTCCTAATTGGTCCTGTAGCTTCTGACTGTGCAGTGAAGAGCATTGTATCCCTGGGGACAATAAAGCATTTGATACTTATGTGCCTAAAGTTTGTTTCTCTTCTGCTCTTTAAATCGCTCTGTTTTTCAGTAATAAACCATTTACCAACTCATGATGGTCAGGTGTGTATGAATTAACTACTTTGTCTGATGTTTTGTAAATAACCAGGGCTTCTTTTGACTTGAGGTATGCCTGACATTCCTGTAAGCGCAGCGAAGATGGAAAATTCAAGTATTGCAGGCTTAAAACCAAACAAAAACAAAAAAAGCCCACAAAAACAACAACAAGAGAACCCAAAGAAACAAAAAAAAAATCCTAACACAAATTCAACCAAAACAACCAAATACTAACCAAAAAAAAAATACTAAAGAATGGAATACACCACAGATTCATAATTGACAGAACAAAACAGATTTTAAAAGATTTGTGAGTTTGTAGTGAAAACCAGTATTCCATGTTTACATCTTAATAAAATAAGTTGCTTAGAATAGAGTGGATTTGCATATGTTTTAAGTAAATATTGTGACTGGAGTTCAAAGTACTGGTAGAGACTTGTTAGCACTTCTGGGAAACAGTCCCTTTCAGGGTGCATCAGGGTGGAAATTTAAAACCAGTGCAGGCTGTGGAATGGCCTAGAGGACCTGGAAATAGGCATCTCCTAGTTCTAAATATAATGGATGTTTAATTATGACAGTTTCTAGTTAACTGATTCCCATCCAGATAAGCACACCTGTTTGTTTGTTTGTTTGTTTTTCCTTTTCCTTCTTTTCTCCTCATGGCTTTCTGTTAACATACAATGTCTCTAAGAAAACATGAATTTTATTGGGAGGGGTGTGGTGCTTGAGGGCATTTTTAAGTGCAGGGGGTTTATGGGTTTTGGGGGGGGGGTTGTTGGTTTGTTTGTTTGTTTGATTTTTTTTTTTTTTTTTTTTTAGTTTGAAATTCCTATTACTGTTTTTGTGGAGTTCTTTTGATCCTACATTAAGCATTTATGGCTGATGCTTACCAGAACAGCCTGTGTTAACACACCTAACGTACATACATACATATACAGATACACACATATACATATATACATACATATATAGCCTCCTTTTCTGCTCTTGTTAGCTGTTTGGGATATAATGTAAAGAGCACTGTGTGTGATGAGAATCTTAGGGGAAATCCAGGTCTTGAGAAAATGGAAGTGCTGAAGCTCAAGCCAGGATCTGGCAAATAAATGGGGTGAATGCCCCCATTCCCCTTACCAGAAGAACCACAAGGAGCTCCAGTGAGCCCAGCAGGGCAGGACATCCCCAGTCCGCCCTCCTGACCTTGTTACAGTGCTGCGGAAGCATTTGGCTGCTCCAGTCTCTGTGTCAGAGACTCAGAACCTCCAGCCAAGCAGGTGGTGTTGGGTGATGCAGTAGGTGGCAGTTCCCCTATGTCAGTGTTGATTTGTTGCTCCTCTGCTCTGTGAGCTGAGCAGTTGGAAATTGTCACCATTTGGACCTGAGGATGAAATCTTGGTCACTTGTGCCAGGAGAAACCCGTACAGTGTTCCTGCCTTAGAGGGAGGGTATGTCTGGACAGGTTTTAAGCTGTATATTTATATGATCTCTAAATTCTCCCCACTTTCCATGCATTATCCACCAGTAAAGTGGAGTAAGAGCCTTAACAGCTTGTTGGGTTTGATATTGACTTGTTTTACTGGTTGGACATTCTCATACTACTAAATGAAATTTTTCAGGTGCATGTTCTAGAGAGCAGGATGAATTTAGAATCCTGATATGAACATCTATACAAATTATATGAATTTGTGACTTTAAATTCCAAGTTATTAATGCAAAAAGTTACTTTTGAGCAATTGTCTTGCAATGAGATCTTTTTGCCATTTCCAGTTTGGATTTGAACTTGAATTACCAGCAGTTTGCTCAGTAATTTTGGAAAACTGCCTTTATTTTTTCAAATGACTGGCTATAGTTGCTTTTTAAACATTATTTAATTAATTTTAAGTGTATTTTGTGTGCAGTTTACTTGAAATATTTTTACCTGTCCCTTTTTTTCATTTTATTCTGTCATTCAAGCAGTGTGCTTTGGCACCTGATTTTTGCTTTTCCTTTGCATTCCTGTCTGAAATCAGAGGAACTTCTTAGTTTATTGTCATTTAAAGAAAGCAGTGTTTGAGTATAGAAAGAAAACATTTTTCACCAATGTTAGTTAGACTGTGCAGCACTGTCTTTAGAGGAAAACATGGTGATGAAGAATAGTTAAAAATTTTTCTGAAATGTACAGATATTTGACACTGCAGCTAGATAATATACTTATTTTGATGTTAAATATGTAACCATCCATGCTGATTAGTACTTCTCATCTGTGTCTAATCTAGGAGAAATGTAAACTTCTTCAGGAAGACAGAAGGGTTTTGTAGCTAGGGCTGCTGTACGGAGCTGGAATTCCTGGCTGCTAACACATCCTCTTAAAAAAAAGTCATTATGCTCCAGGCTTCTTAAATTTAATTGACTGGGTGGAAAAAAAGACCCAAATAAAATTTAATTTTAATCTTTTATTTCAGAGTTAATTAAGTACTCGTTATTCCAAGAATTAGTTTAAAGTTTATTATTATTACAAGTTTACTTTTGCCCTATGACTGGGAAACTGGGTAAGTCCAAATGTGCAGACCCTGAGAAGAACTTCTGTCTGTTCTGAGGACATGAGTCACAGTTACTTTAAAACCAAAACAAAATAAAGCTACCTGGTGCTCTTCAATTAGGTAATTGGTTTAGCATGTCCTCCGGTAGAAGCATTTCAGCAGAGGCAGGCGAGTTTGATTAATGCTCACAAAAATCTTTAATGTGATCCTACTCACAGTAATTTTCCAGATACATGCTTCTTTGGTACACTGCTAAACTCTTCTGTGTTAGCAACCTACATTTTATTTATGGGTGCAGAGAGGTGATTTTGTTACTAACCATTTGGGAAACAGAAAATTAAGTCATGATTTAAGAAATGGATTCCAGCTCAATCAGTCAAATTGCTGTGTAATGGCTGAATAGACAAAATAATTGTTCGTCAGGGCAAATTTGAAGTGATTACATTTCCAAGTGTGCTTCTGGTTGTTATGACGTAGAGTTTGGTTTTATTTGTTCAGTTTAAACTACATGTCAGTATCATGAAGGCAACCGCTCTTGAAATTAGCAAGTAGCATTTTTTTAAACTAATGTCATATGTCAATTTTGCTTCCAGTGTCCATGTTGAGAATAAGTAAAATCTTTCTTTATTTTGAAGCTTTTCTCTGCGTGCTTTCTGCATGTCTTGCCAAGTGCTATTTGACCACAGTACATTTAGGCTTCTATGCTTTTTATTGACATTTCTGAATGCTTTGAGTTGAAAGCAGTTTTTCACTTGAAACTTTTGACTTGTGCTTTTTAAACTTGCTTATTTTTGTGAAAGTATTTAGAATTTCCAAGTGTCTGTTTAATGTGGACAAAGAGAGGATATTTTATTCAGTCAGATAAAAACATAAGTTACTGCTTTCACCTTGACATATCTTAAGAAATCTTGGATTTTCCTCTGAAGTTGACTATTGCGTGTCACTTTGGAAACTGCAGAACCTGAAGAATGGGTTTATATATATATTATTACTAGAATCGAAATGTGGTACACCAGTTAATCACCTGGAAATCTACAATATTAAAAAGACAGTGTTTTCAGTACATCTCTAAGCCGTAAAGTGTTGTCACAGTAACAAAATTTCTCCTAACTTTTATTTGAGATAGCTTATTATTTACTGTGCCAAAACTATTTTAAAAAAAACCTCAGTGCTGATTGGGAATTGCAATGCTAGATTGTAGCCTAGGGGTCAAAAGCAGGTTAACAGGTCCTGCAGCTTGTTGCTGGTGTGATATTACCTGAGTTTGATGACTTAATCTTTCTTAACAGGTCATGAAGAGTTTGCTAAATTAAGTTAATTATAAGAGAGAAGGGACACATTATAAATCAAGGACTAACTATGCAAGACACCAGTAGTATTTGAAATAAAAAACTTCAAATTGAAAATTTATTGAGTGTTTAGATGTTAACATTTAAGTAGAGGATAGGCTGTTTTACTAAAAGCAAGTTTTAGTTACTGTTTCTGTAATTTCTTTACCACCCCTCCCAACCTGAAATGCAAAACTTTTTAGTGCAGGTGTGTTAAAAATGGTTAGGAGTTTCATTTTACTAAAGACCAACCTGGTCAATGAATTCCCTCTGTTAGATATGGCTTATGAGTGATGGCAATTGCCAGTATCATTCGAAAAACCCTTTTGAGTTCAGCATGGGATGGTCAACATTTCCTGTCCTTCTATTCCTTCCTTTTTAAAGCCACTAGTACTATTTGTTAAGCTGTATCTTTCTTTCTTATCAAGACAGACTTTATTTCAAATGTTCTCTGAAATTGGAGTTTTAATAGGAAGCTACAATCAAGTACAGTGTTATCCCACATGGCTACTTTGAACTATAAAATATAATTGTATGTTGTCTGGATTATTTTACAGTAAATTTTGATAAGTAGATTTTTTTCTGTCTTCCTTTAACAGAAGGTATTTTTACTTCATAGAAGAAGGTGATATAGTTTGTATTCTTGTAAAAATTCTGAGGTTTAGTTTTGTACTTTTAAGTTTTTAGTAAACAGAGTTAATTATTGGTATTTGTTGTGTAGAACTGTTATTTCCACAGGATTTAGACATAGAATTTCAGATATATGACAACTAACAATCCTTTCTTTCCTGTTTAGTTTGCAGGTCGCAGTAAGAAAGAAACTAAATACTCCTTGAAGGCAGTGGAAGACATGTTGGAGACCCTGCAAATCACTCAATCTTAGCTTGGCACAGAGATCTAATATGAAATTTTCCAATACCACACTCAACCTGTAATGACCTGTGGGTTATGTTACTCTAGTGCTGTTAAAAGTTAATTTTGTATTGATTACATGCTATATAAAATAACATTTTATGAAAAGTAAAATGCCTATTTATTGCTGCTATAAGAAATGTGATGAATACCCACTGAAATTAATAACTTATCTACATAAACAACACGAAGAAATTACGTGCTGCACATCAGTATCCTCAGATTTTTGTATGTACAGTACTTGCTTCTAAGCCATAATTTGTAGAAATAAACCTGTTAAATGATTAAAAAAATACAGACTTAAATTTATATATGTAGATGAATAACATATGCTAAATATTTTTCTTATTTGCACATTTAAGAGTAAAAACATGCTACAGAGGTACACTTTCTGGAAAATGCATCAAGGAGTGATTATGAGTACACTGTATTAGAGAACAAAGTTTGTTAAGGGTTTTCTTAATGAGTTCATATCTAGTACTGTAGAAATGGAGAAAACTTAGTTGTGGACTTTGCTTCCAGGCTGCTGTTGTACTGGTTTAAGGGCAAAGACATTCTTCTCTGTGGCTTTGTGGGCAAATGCTTCCATGCCCACATAATTCTCTGATCGGTGTATGCATATTCCTTTTTTTTTTTCTTCCTTCTCTCTCTCCTTTCTTGTACATGTGTTCCACATGGTGAATTTCAGCTGGGGCTCTGTGCTGGTCTCTACAGCTCTGTGTCCCTGGTATGGGCACCTCTTTGCTGTGGTGCTTTGGCTTCTCCACTTGGAGCAAGGGGTACTGCACTGACAGGGTGACATGACAGCTTGTTCAGCTGCCTTGCACTTTCTGAGGGGTGGTGTTTGTTACACCATCAGCACGAAGCATCCAGCACACTGTAAAACTCTGTTCTGTTTGTCTTCAGGCAGTGGTTTATTTCCTCAGATAATGAGTCAAACACCCTAATTCAAGCATTTTGCACCTCTGATCTTTCTGGGTGTTGTTCAGATGTGCACTGTGGCAATTCAGTTGCACAGCTATCATTTCATTTACTACAGCTTCAGTAAGATTGTATAGCAGCATCAATGTACCCTTAGCAAATTCTAATACCAGTGTTGCAATGTTGTTTTCATGGCTGCTACAACCATCCAGGATGATTAGACTTTTAGATTTCATACTGCCTGATCTATATAGATGGATAGGTTAAAGGCTGTGTATTGAAATGTATTCATTATGATCCTGGACTTGATGTAATAAAACACAGCTGAGTTCCTTCTTAAAGACAAACCAGCAACAAAAACTTCCTTCAAAGCTTGTAAATGTGTATAACTGAGCTGTTTTTTGCATGACTGGGCCTTCAAGAAACATGTAGGATCTCAGTCTTATCCACGAAGTAGGTTGGAGTGTGACAGAACGGATGCCATGCCATGAGAATTAATTGTATGTGGAATCATAAAATAGCTTAATTCACTGCTGTCTAAATACAAAACTGCAGATATTGCATAATGTTTTATTAAATCACCCAATTGTAACTTGGGGAAATAGTGCATATCCTTTTATAATAATAATTCACAAACTGGCCTCAGAACAGTATGTGTGGCTAGATTATATATGCTTTGGGTGGAAAACATCGAAGTCAGAAGATATCATAGTTGGTGCTGTGTATTTCTGTTGTAGTCTTTGATTGTATGAGTGTGCCATCTAGAGTTTTAAGCCCTCATTAGTATTTTTTTCTGTTGCACCTACATCTCATGTAACTTAGTTGCATTTTAAAATTAAACTTGGTGGGAAGGTTAAATTTACTTTGTGCATAACAATTACCTCCAAGCTGTTAAAAACCAGCAATGCAGTATTTTTGTGTAGCAGGCACATTCTGCTGAAATATGATGTATATAAACCGTTCAGAGGCAGCTTTTAATAAAGCAATGTCAGACTTGGGTATTTAGTATATAAGTTTCTCTGTAAAGAAATTTGTTCTGTTTCTTGTTTTCAGTTATTTGATGACAATTTTCATGTCATTTGGCTGCTTAGCACCTTCTCATTTTCATTACTGTTTGGCATCTCTTTGAAATTACTATTTAGCACTCTGATTTGTGCTTGTATTTTAGCAAGATTTCCACATAGTAGAGCTTACAAGTCAACCTTGCAAATATTTCTGACAAATTTATGTTTACTTCAAAGGTTAAATAAATTGCTCCAATGAAAATGCATGAGCAATCTACAACAGAACTATTGAATTACAGCAATGGAAATTGAGAGTATTTTCAATACGGAAATTTAAAAATAAAGTTTAAAAATCTTCTGCAGGGGCAGTAACTGCTTGAAATGCCCTGCACTCTCAGCAAGAAAGGGCTTGCTGAGAAGAGAAGCTGTCATATATTATGATCTTTATAAAAGTAATTTTCCAATTCTACTAAATGATTTTGTAATGTTACAGATGCTGTGTTGCATTAAAGAATAGGTTTTCAGAGAATGGGTTACTTAATTAACAAATGAACTTCATTATGTTTTGTATTGTGCTCTGACAGTGACAAATGCTACACAAAAATATTATCAAGCATTCAGTCTCCTCTTTCCAAAATAAAAGGCTATGTGTTCATATTGTTTCAGTTGACAGCAAAAGCTTGGGACATTTGCAATGCCAGGCTGTGTAGCAATGACTGTGTCTTTATTTTCTCAACCATACTTTGGTAATAGGCTTGACAAGGAGAGCTCGGTGTTAGCTGATGAGGTAAAAGTCTGAGGAGCCACCAAAACCTCCAGTTCTGCCTTTGTGATACAAGTTATTGGTAACTTCGTCAAAACCTTTTGTCCAAATGCTATACAATTCATATTGTATAGCTGCAAAAAGCACATCTTGCTTAGAATATATCCCTAAATCTCTTCAGTTCACTGCCCAGAATATCTTGCGGTTGCTATTGGAAACTCTGTTATTAGTCAACGGAGGACTTCCTCTTGGCACTGCTGTATTTGTAATGGCATCCATGTTTGCTAGTCACTGCATTTACAGTGGAACTTGTATTTCAGCCAGCTTTAGAAGGGAGGGGAAAAGGAAAGCAAATTAAACTTGACTTACTGGCATGAATTTGTTAGCTTCTTGTTACTTGCACTCTCATCTTCCAAGAACACCAACTGTAGCTGCAGTCGTTTGCAATAATAATTCTTGTAATTTAAGAGCTTCTATATATTAAGCTCTAAACTCAAAACTCCATTATAATCTAAACCATAGAGATAGTGAAACAGTGCTATGTGATGTGCACATACCCCTGTGCAGGAAAGGACTACACCCACCCTCCTTCAAGTTGGTGTCAGAGTAGAGGAGCATTAGTACAGTTTTTGACTGTGGTTTTGTCTATAAAATTAATGTGGCTTAGTATTTCTCAAAATATTGCTTAGTTCAGTGTATGAATAGAATGTCAGGACTATTGCTTAACCTACAGCAAGTAGTCCTCTGTACTACTGTCTACAGTAGTACAACAGACTATTTGAGTCTACCCAGAGACTAGTTACCATCAATAAAGGATCATTAATGTGCCTCTTAAAAATAAACTGAAAAAAAAAGCCACAAAGAACAAAACCCAACCCCTCCCCCCAAAAAACACACAAAAAACCCAAACACCCACCAGAACAATAAGAAAAACCCAACCGACCAACCAAAAAAAACCCACAAAAAACCAAAAAAAAAAACCCCAACAAAACAAATAAAAGAAAACCTCAAATAAACAAAGACAAAAATAAATCAACCCCACCAACATCACCTGGTAAAGTTGTTTTTCAGCTGCTGGATGTGAAATGAAAAACCTTTATCAGTGCATTTCATAGCTGACTTTATTTTGCCCTGTGATAAGGAAGTCCTCTGTACAAAGCAATGCAATCCTTTCAATGCTTACCAGGGAGGAAGAAAGGCTAGAGAAGCACGCAGGCCTGTTCAACCCAATGCTATAGCAGGGTTTCCACTGGCATGTTGCAAAGAACGTGCCATTCATCTGCACTCGGGATCCCAGAGCTCAGCAGTCGTGTACAAAGGACTAAATGAGGCTGGCCTGGCACAGCCCAGAGCCTGCAGAGTTGGTGCTCGGGGCCGGCCGTGTGCTCGCAGACCCAGCACAGCACCTGAGCTCTGCCCAGCTGCCACTATGGCTGCACTTTGCCTTGAGTTCCTGAGTCTCCCCACATCTTGCTAAGGACTGTTCTGTCCTCTGCTTTTCTTTTCTCCCATTGGCATCTCCACAGCTGGAGAATCTTGCAGAAGATCTGATTTTGCTTTGGGACTGTAGAGGTGAAGGTACAGACAGATCAGTTGCTGGACTGATCCTGCCTCTGCGAAGGTTTTGCACACTATTGGCTTCAGTGCACTGAGTGACCAGTGCGTGCCTAAAGGTCAGCACATGAGCTTTTGCCTTGGACTGAGTCTGCTCAAACCCTTCGTGGGTGCTTGTCAAAGTTTGTCTGAGGTTGGATGTGATCTCTGCTGAATGACCTGGAAGTGGCAAGATCTCTTATGGTGACGTGACTGCAGTTTGGGTCTCACAGTCACTGGGTCTTTTTGTGCAAGTGTGTGAAACAGCATGGGGTGAACCACTTCAGGAAAACAATTCCAGATGGAAGGCTCTTTCTTTATCCAAGTCAAAGAAATGGCTGGAGGGAGGATGAGCCACCTTTTCAGCTTGAGTGAGTAAGCAGAGATCCACTAGCTCTCTGCCCTGCAGAAGGTGACAACATCTGCTGCACTTTTTCATTGCCAAAATAATGATAGTTGCTAGCTTGTGTTTAAAATTAAAAAAAAAAAAAAAAAAAAAAAAAGTGAAAAAATGTTTCTCTCATCATCCCTGTGTATTTTAACTGCTTTCAATGTGAACTTGATGTTATGGTTCCTCGTGACATTTGGGTGGCATGTAGGCATCTACCTGAAGGCAGTGGAGAAAGACACATTTACTGTGCCTGCTCACATGGGAAGTTTCTGGTGGGCTTCCATCATGGCAGGCTACAACCTGTTTGCACTTCTTGTCTCATAGATGGGGCTTATTTAAATAACATCCCTCTAAGGATCCAGGCTCATTTTCCCCAGAGAAGGAAGGATCATTTCCCAAATATATACTTTTTTTTTTTTTTTTTTTCTGTAGCAAGCTTTCAGGTTTTGGACATGATGTTTGGAAGTGAAACTTTAAACCAGGCAGATGTAAGAAGAGACTGCAAAAATCAACAGTGAAGCAGTCTCAAGTGAGCAGCAAGTAAAATTAACCATTGCCTCTGTTTATTTAGGTAATTGAGCTTGACACCATGGTGTGTCTGACAAGTTAGTTTGTGTTTTT